ATGTCGCCCACATCGTCCAACAGCAGGTCTGCGACTTGGAGTATATAGCACGGGCGAGTGTTATGCGTGCCTATTGCGTATGTGAGTATGATATGAACGACCAAGTACAGCGCTGCGTACCTTCTGACCCCACTAGCATCCAAGAGTCAGCGAATGCCGAAGGTCACAATAACAGATGTGACAGTACCTCAGTGTGATGCCTCTTTCTCCAACTTCCGTCTGGTCACCAGCAGCAAACAACTCGAGATCGCGTTTCAGTGCGCACTGCTCAATGACTACAGTGATGGGTTAACCGCCTGTCTTGTACAACAACTTGTTTCAACGCACCCTTTTGATAACGTTCCTCGTTGTATGGGGCGCCGAAGAGAATGTTGTCCTATCCAAAGCTAAACAACACCAATGTCATTCTTGCGACGTACCACGTACCTTTATGGTTTCGTTCTGAACCCAAGACTCCTGCGCGGCATAAGCAATTCCACCAGCCCGGGGTAGATTGTAGAACGAATCAGGGCCAGCGGGTATGTAGTGCATCTCGCCCAGCAGAGCCATCAACAAGGAGCTCTTTCCTGAACCAGTCGGGCCAATCACGAGATTAATACTGCCTTTCTCAAATACCAGGTCGTCGTCGATATGCAAGGTGAAATTCCTTCGCCCGCTTCCAGGAGTCGAAGCCGCGGAGCCGCTGACTTGGTTCGCCCAGGTGAAGGAAGCATTGCGGAACCCAATGACGTCGTCCTCCGGCTGCGCTGCGATCTGAGTCTGGATTTCGTCAGGTTGTTCAGAGTATTCGTCCAGTAGCTCGGTCTGTCGCGCAAGTTGCTTCTGTCAGTCGCCGCTATGGATTGGAGTAGAGAAGGCCAACCTTCTGCAAAAACTCATTCACTCGGTCCAGCGACACCTTAGCTGTGTTGCATAAGGTCAACAAGCTGACGCCTCTCTACACTTCATGAACTTACCTCTAATCATCATAGGCACGAAACCAAAGCCCATATGCATTAGCTGGCTGAAAGTGTCGAACACTGCATACATGTCAGCATTGTGCGTTCCGTTGGGGTCGCCAAACATACCCGTGATAGATGAGAAGACAGCAGACGCTGTGAAACGATGTGAGATATGCGTGCACGGGGTCAGCAATATGCTTCACCTGTAAGATCCCGCTTCATGATCATGGTCTGGAAGCCAAAGTCAGTTGATGGTGTCTATATCTCATATATTCCAACCAAACTCACGTATGTCGCGTAGGTCACGATCATGGTGACCAAGGAATGGCGTGGCTTGAGACGAGTCAGACTAGGCTCGGAAGGTCGCAGACACACTGCGTACGCACTTTAGGTTATTGTTGATGAGGTCGAGCAGCTTGCTCTTCTTCACGAGCTCCAGCTCGTCCTCACGTTTCTCCGCCAGTTGCTCCCCAACTCGGGGCTCCCAGCCAAACAATTTGATCATACGGATGACATTCATGGCTTCACAGGAAAGGGATCAGCATGTACACCAAAACAATACACGGTGATACTCACTTTCTGTTGCGCTCTGCACACGTGCATCGGTCTTAGACGGAGCATGTCAGTCATGCGCAGACACGAGCGAGAAGGAATGAATGATACCTTCTTCATCTTCGCTATCTGGATCTTGCGAATGCGCGTTGCAATCAGACCGGGAACAGGGAACAAGATGACGATGGAAGCAAGTCCGACGAATGCACTATGCGCCTAATCAGTCTACCATGTTGCCCGTCATGATGTGTGGCCACTGACCTCCACCCCAAGATGGCGTACAAGAACCATACACAGCAGATGATCTCGACGGGAAGCTTGACCACTGCGACGGGAAGTAATTGAGCGAGCAGCGCAAGATCGGTGATACGCCAAACACGCACGGAGGACCAAGAACTCCCTACCCATGCCGAGAGAGGCGAGGTCGGACGAGATAAGGTTATTAATCTTCCCGACGACGTTCTTGCCCTTCTTTTCATCGTCTGCTGGCTTTGCCTTCCCCTCCTTCCCGACGACCTTGTTGGCGTCCGCACTCTGTGCAGCCACGGGAACCGTCTGCGCCGTGGATTTCTGCTTTCCCTTGCCTGCTGTGGAGTCGCTGTCATTGTCGTTGCCGGTTTCTTGAGCGGTTGGAGCGGTAGCGCTCGACTCAGCGTCGGAAGCCGTGTCGGGTGTGCCGGCAACGGTCGTGTCACCTTCACTTTGAGCGGGATCTTGCGAGACGTCTGCCTTCATGCGCATGCGCAGAGCATGCTCAAAGACGAGTTGTGTAATGATCGCCTCGACTTGAGTCAGCAATCTCGTCTGTACGTGTCACGATGAGCAGTGATCAAAGATCGAAAGGCGGTCGACGCACGGAAAGGAACATGTACACGGATCCGAAGATGTAGTCCACGATCGGTCCGAGGAGGAGCATCGCGATCCAGAACCAGGGCCTGACGTTGACACCTACGCCGTCCGTCTCGATGTACCTGCGGACACGTCATCGACTGGACACGGGAGTGCAAATTATATAGCTTACATCAGGATATATCGAATAGCCAGCGGGCTGATGAACTCTAAGGTAGTCTGTTGAATGCAGTGTAAGCCTCCTTGGGTGTGTTTATTAAGGCAGCTGCAACGCACGTCAAAAATGGTCACGATGGTCATGACAATCCACTCCATTTCTGTTCGAGGTTCATCAACATGCGTGTATAGAGACACGTCGCGGTTGAACTTACGGAAGACGCGCAGGAGGCCCCACATGAGATGTCTGCCCTTCGCCTTCACTCGGAACGGGTCGATCTCCTTCAACGCTCGTCAGCAGACAAGAAGTGAGTCCCAAGAAGGTGAACACACATTCATACTGCGCTTCATTAGATTTTGAGCGTCATCGTAGTCGGCCAGAGGAGGCAGCATGTCGATGGTCAGGTGTTCGACAAGCGACGCGAGCTTGACCGTCGGGTCAAGGTAGCTGTACAGCAGGAGTGACATGATAGAGGCGGTCTGCTCCGCGGGCGGGTCCGGCCATGGAGTCTACACAGCCATCAGCTGTCTACTCTCTCATCCAGTTTGCGTCATATTGAATCGACCTACCTCTGGATCAAAGGGGATGTAGCGCCGAGGGATCAAGAGGGGCACAAAGATACTATTGATGGTCAAGAGAGAGATCCTAGCCCAAAGCAGAGGGCCTTCGGCGAGATCTATGGGCTCTTGCGTGAACGTCGCCAAGGGCCAGAGATCGCGGTACGCGTAGACCGCCCACGCAGTGAACAGAATACAGTTCAGGTGGCGAACAGCTGTCGTGCTCAGGACGGGACCAGCAAGCAGCGAGGTGATGCCGAGCGCTGATGCGTACACCTGGACAACACGGTCAGCGTTGTCGTACGCGCGTGAGAGCAAGGCGGACGGTCGCTCACGTAGGTTACACAAGTGCCAACGTGGAAAACGATCTCGAGGCTCTGAGGCTCCAGGGTTGCAGAGTGGACCAAGGACTCGGTCGCGCTGTAGATGGACATGCCCAGGAGCGCCAGGGTTGACGCGGCCCGCAATACGTTGAACGCGACGAGGACGACGCCCCCGTGTTCCTTGACGTGTTTTACCAATGCAGACGCGTTTTCACTCTCTTCTGGAGCATGGAGAGGCTCAGAGATGGGCGAAGGTTCGGACTGAGCAAGCTTCGCGTACGCCTTCTTCTGGGTGCGAACATGCAGTGCCAACTGTACCAGGAATACAAGGATCGACAGCGCAGCGACTCCCGGAGGGTAAAGCAGCGTAGAGTCCGCGAAACTACGTTTGTTGTGAGTTCAGAATATGTTACGTGTGTGTAGGTTGGACATACTTGATTTTGTCTCGTGCTGCAGTCAGCATGGAGAGGCTCTGGTTGTGAGCCCTTTGCGCCTGAGCATAGACATACTGAGCAGGTCCTGGTATGCTCGTGGACCAATGACTGAAGAGCTGGTCCCTCCCTATGTCCATTTTGCCTGGCAGACCAAACGCTTGAAGGACGTGGTGGAGGAAGAAGTGACACAACCAACGACTCGGACCAAGGGTCTATGTACCGTGTCAAGCGCGAGCGATGATATTTCCGGTTTTGACATCCCGATCTGTCAAACGTCATGTTGGTGAGATACGCACTCATCTTTATCAAGAAGGCCGTCGTACTTGCTCGTCGACGTCGACACGCGGTCCGTGCGTTTCGAGCGACTCACATCGTCGGTACCGCCGCGGGCCGTGTGCAGCTACTTATCTGACCCCTCAGGGTCACACCCAGGGTTCATTCGATTGATTGCATCTCGACCCTCGGTGATTAGGGAGTCATATGATGATGGCCAAATCAACGGTGCGGTCGTTGATTACGAGCTATTGCGAGTCAATGTCGAACCGGATTGAACCCCACATCAGACGGGCGACACATCGAGCTACAATTGTTTGAAGCAATGCCCGTTCCACTTGTAAGTTACGTAGACACAACGACATAGCGCACTGTTTTACATCGACAGCGTGCGAAGGCCAAATACTGCAGGCTGCTTATTGATTCAGACACGATGTCTGTGGCCGCCGCAGCGAGTTTTCCCAATTTCTTTGCAGCCGGTATGCTGCCGCGATAACACTCGCATGGGGCCATGGGCCTAGACAAGTTCCCACGGGTACTTATTCGGCGTACACCGCCAAATTTCCCATACGTAGTCAAAATATCGTGATGACAGCCCAGGGCCACGTAGACTGTCGGGCGGAGACAGCACAGCCGTCACGTTGTAGATACCGTTTTTGGAAATATAGTGACCGGCTGTGCTGCTATATGGATGCCAGCCGGGAAACATGTCTCCGTGAGCTTGAGGATCGGACGCCTGACAGCAGTTAATCGAGCCAGTACCCATATGAGGAATACATTCTGACTATGTAGCGATGCGGATCTCAGCCGTTCGAAAATTCTCCTCAGAGCCAGCTACTGACCTTGCTTTATCCAGGCATATGCTAGTGCCTGCAGCTCGAAGGTGAACTGGGTGCGAAACAGCCCGATACCGTGACGCAAACACCTTGCAGGTTATCATTGAATCCCGGTGTAGACTACATGCACGTAAGCGTAGTGATATCAGTCAAGTATCTATGTCCATTCCTATATCAACCCCGGACTGTCGCTTGCGTTTTCTCGGACGACTCGGCTCGCCGTTTGCCATCCCATTATCACGCTCGGCTTGGTTTGCTGCTTTCTTCGCTTCAGCCTTCGCTTTCTGCGCTGCGCGTTTCGTGTGTCGTTGCTCTCGTAAGGCTGTCGCAAATTCGATATGCTTGACCTCTCGGTCTTCGTGGAGTGCAATGGGCGCCCAGAGCGAGCGCGGTAACATGTCCCGTATCAAGTGCGCATTATGGAAGCTGAGGGTGTTGATGATCCAATGATCGAGTTCACCGTGTTCAATGAAGTCTTCCATGATTGTTGTGGCCCGTCGTTCTTGCATACGCGGCCGTGCGCCACTGGGAGAACATCTCCCATTTGCGCAGTCGTGCTGAACGTTGTACTTGAACTTGAGGTTCTACGTCGAGTTATGAGTACTATGCAGTCTCTATAGTGTTAGAGCGACAGATATGGTGACACACCTTGACGAGTACAATCACCGATTGAGCCTCTCCTTGCCGCCGGATTAGGACAGGCATGCCATAGACATCATGACGCTGAGACGAGACATGGTATACGTCAAGGACAGCAATTGCTTCCTCGGCGTTCGGCATACCACGCGCGAAGATGCCAGCAATGCGCCCAGTTATTGGTTGTCCCTGATGATCATCTCGGATAAGGACCATGATCGCAAAATGACATAACACGTACATCGATTGGGGAGTCAGCATATATCCACGACTGTAGGAAGCATTCGTCACTGCTCTGTGAGACGGCAGATGTGCAACGAAGCCAGCGAGTTGTGTCTTCATACGTTCCGAGATTCAACGCATGCGCGGCGTCAGTCTCGAGGAGGTTGACTTCCGGGCGGTGGCGACAACCAGCAGGAAGAGGCGCGAGCTTGATAGTGCCTGTGATAGAGTATGAGCGCAGCTGTCGAACCCGACTCAATGACATAATCACAGCTTAGAATCAACGTACCTGGTGCGAGCCCCTCAGGATCAGACCACCCGAGTAGTGTCTGGAGCATGGGGCGCGTCTGCATGAAGTCCCGTACTCCAGTCCCAGCACGGATCCATCCGCCTTCATCGTCGGCCCACCACCCACCAGTCAAGCGGTGCTTGAAGCCCTCGAGGTCGCCAAATTGGTTCGCAATATCACGGCTTGGAGCGAGATGGTTTGATAGAACAGAACACGCACGGAAGATGGCGTTGAAGCACTCGAAGGACTCTGTCATCTCGTTCAGCAGAGGACCAAATCGACGGATATCCTTGCAAATGTGATTGAGTAGATGTAACTTGATCTTCTCTAACAGTTTGCTCGGGTCCATTCCTGCAAAGACGTCGAGGACGTTGGCAATCGCAACCTGCACATCAGCCTGATACAGACTGATCAGTCATAGCAGCAGAAATGCGACATACGGAGAAGTATTACATACCAGATATTGCTCGAGGTTCGTCTCTGATATCTCCGTAAACCACAAAAGCACAGCGAGTTCTCCGACGACCTTCCATAGCTGAAATTCTGTTGGATCTACGAGGTCATGGACATGGAAGACAGCGGTCTGGATGATTGTCTTCAGCTGGCGACCAATCAAGGAGTTTGCGTACTGCATGACATAGTTAGCGCGAATAGGGTGGACGGACAAACCATCCCGGTTTGTTGCCTGGAGGCGTAAAGCATATGTCTGTTTCTGTTTGGTGTTCCACTTCGTGTGCGTCGGATGCCAGGCGTATTTGACTAGACCAAGCAGGATTGTGTGTAGAAGCTCGATAGGGGTATCCTGCGACGGGTCGAAACCTACGACCTCGCAGTCAGTGACTTTGAAGTGCACATGACGTGAACTCTATCAGACCGACCTTCCAGGGTGAGAAACGGACTGAGCATCTCCTTCATGTTCGGCTCATGCTTCGCCCATAGGAACTGCTGGACTTCATCGAGAGTCATCTCAGGTTGCATATCCCGAAGGGTGCGGGCTTCGTCAATGATCTTCTCAATGAAGTATTGCGTGTAAGTGTCCTTGACTCCAGTCTCCGTCTGCGATGTCTGAACACGTTTTGCGACTCCAGAACAGGCCTCAAATATCTGGTGTATGAGTTGCTCTATGATCGCATCCTTGTTCCGTAAGTTGCCGGGCTATAGCACATCATGCGAATCAACCTCTGACACAAAGTGTATTCCCAGCAAAACCGAGATAAATGACGCACGGAGAAAAGCTTTTCGAATCCATCATTACTTTCCTTTTCTCTGTCAGTCCCGCCAGCATCACACTTCCGACAGAGAAGATTCCCCTGCCCGCCTATGTGCGACGCGACCTCACTGGACACGGGATTGTCTGACGCCTCTGCATTTGCGTAGATGCGAAGGGCAGCCTCCTCTTGCGTTGTGGCATCAAAGACAATGACGGGGTTGGTGTGCGTCGATCTGATTCTTGCATCAGTGACATGGACTTGGGATGCACCCGGTGAGCTGGTAACTGCAACAATGACTCACTCTAATCGCTTCTTAGCTTCGAAGAACTGTTCCGCGATGCTTGCATGCTGCGAGGTCGACACAAAATGAGTATGGAACTCTTGTTGAAGTAGACGGCGCGGAAGGTTCCGATGAGTCATGTACGCATTCCAGTGCTTGTTCCAGGATTTTGAGCGATTTCCTGAGACATCGTCGCTGAAATAGTCGATGAAGCTGGTGTAGAGCGGGCGTCCCTTGGCAATATCACGAAGAGGGTTTGGCATCTTTGCTGGGTATTCGGCATCAACAGAGTCTATTGGAAGAGGCGGAGTCGTCATCAAGATCTCCGGTCATACTTGAATCACGTACTGCTCCAGCGCGAGGGTAATTTTTGACTCTCCTCGAGCGAAAGGTAATTCTCTGCCAGGTCGCATGCTTTGATGGACTCTGTTGAATCTTGATCATGCACAGATGCAATCCCATCCTAGTCGTCCAATCACACAATATGACCAACTTGAATCAACAGGTATGTACGACACATTCAGTTATCGACTCACAAAGGATATGCTCACGCGATACGCGTCAGCTCGGAGATCGCCTGCGCTTCGCATCACCCACCGAACGGGTATAACGAAGGTCCCATCTTGCATACAAGCCAACTCGTTGACATAGAAGTGTTGATTTCGCTGCCGGTCATTGTACATAGGACTCAGGATGTGCGATGGTACGTCGTGATGCCATTTCTGGGCATGAAAGACTTCACTGATCTTCCCGCATGGGTCGACAATGTAGCGCTCAAGGTGCGGAACGGTGAGTGGATTTGCATAGTCCTATAGTAGCAATTCAACTCGTGCTCAGACAACATTTCTCAGTACAAATAGACCTCACCTTTGCGACCAATTCGACAGGGTCGTTGATTGTGAACCGATTGCCACGAACTGAGACACAATCAAGCGACGCGACACCGCTTGAGCCTCGAAGCCGTTTCTGCACCTTTCGCAGCCGATCCAAGGATGGTACATCGCGCACTCCCATCTCCTTCAGAACCCACAATAGGACACGCATCAATGAGCTTGATATCCGTAGGCGGGGAAGATTATCAATCAAGTCCAAGAGAAACATCTGCAAGGTCGGACAAGAACAAAGAAGAAATGTGAGTACAGTATGTATGACTCTCCTGACGGAATACTCACCACTTTTGATTCATATGGAAGCCAACAACGAGTTGATGAGTTCTCCGCGTTTTCGGGCTGATCCAAAGGATGGCCATTTATCTCAGGTTCGTCATGCAACAGTGCTATACGCCCGAGTTAAAGTGTGAACACCAACTCGAGGGTGCCCAGGCTTACCGGCGTTTTTCAACAACTCAGCCAATATATCATCGCCTTCTGGATCGTCGCCCAACAACTCTCTAAGCATCTCATCGTTTTCCGTCTCTCCAAACCCGGTCTCTGCAGCTGCAAGCCGTGGATTCCATAGGCCGAATGTCTCGGCCTCGCGTTCAAGCCTCTCGCGCGTGGCTGTGGCTGCAGTGTCCGTGTCTTGCGCCAAGTCATCGATTCCGAAGTCAGCACCGTTCCTCTCAAAACCATCCCACATTGCAGCCTCTGCCGCGGTACGGTGTAACGAAGCCTGATATGTGCTGGGCCCAGACTGGGAAACATCGACTGAACGCAGTGTCACCGTTTCAGCTGTCCCCGCGGCTGCCCGAGCAGCAGACATCTTTTGTTGTATACGCCCCGCATCCTCCGCTTCACAAGCACGTCGGTGACCCAGAGAATTAAGGTGCGTCTTCTGAGACTCGCGTTTCATCCATGCGTTGCGTTGGAGAGGATCATGTGCCAGACATACCCGGCAATGTATCTTCTTGCCATCCTCCGATTCAGTGAAACCTCCAATTCAATGTGAGTCCAAACAGTCAATTGATCGGTCAATAGATGCTTACAGCCTGCGACCGCCTTGCGGGCTGAAGGCATAGTGGACTCTGCGCCTGGAGAATGTCCGCTACGACGGTCTGCAGTGTGTCGTGAAGTGAAGTGACCGTGGTTCTTTCAGTTTCAGTTGCTTAGCAACCTTCGCTGACAGCTTCACCTGTCACCTCGAGCTTGCGTTTCAGCCATTGTTCGTCGGGCGTGGCAAGCCAATTTGAATTGCTTGAAGACGAATTAAACCCGAGACTACCGAAGTGGATATATCAACAGTGAGGTGCGCCCGAACATAAATCCGCCCAAGTTCTCTCTCCATTTTGCTCACCAACTTCATCTTCAATCGTCTCCTTCACTGCCTGACTGAGCCATGACTTCGACACGCCATTCTTCTCCTGCAGACGGCCATGCTGACGTGTTCGACTCCGCAAGGGCTGCCATGGAAGAGGACACACCTCCGACAACACCACGTCGCGCCAACAAACGACAACGTATGCAAGCTGGCCTCGATGACGAGGGCGTGGATCGTCCTCAGGATGAACCAGGTCTGACTTCAAGCTCGGAGCCTGCTGCCACGGTACTGTCAGCGAACGCGGCCACTGTGGAGGCCACTGTAGCAGCTGTCACGACTAGCTCTGGCAATCAATTGGCTTATGCCAAGAGGTACGGCCAACGCAAGGGGCTCCGAGGCGAGCAGCAGGCTGAGCTGGAGTCGTTCGCATTGGTAATCCTTATTATATCCTCCTCTGATACCGAAGACGAGCTGACAGTACGTCACTTAGAGCGACCCGGGCACACGTCAAGTCAAGCTCTACTCGCAGGGACTACAACTCGAGAAGAAACTCGACAGCATCATGATGTCGATGCCTCCTTGGTCGCCATCGAAGGAGCTGCAGACCAACATCAGCCACTATGCTGTCGCCGTCATGCTCTCGAGCAAGATCAGTGCGTATAAAGGTCAAACCCCTGTTAACCATGTGTTGGTAAGTGAGTCGTGTCTTACGATCTACCGTCTCACAATGAATACGGTCAGGATATCATACGCATTTTGCGGTTCGACATACCGACTGGGATTGAGCGTAATGCTGCTAACTGGAAGAAGATCGTTAAGGCGGTGTCGGACGCCTTCACCGCGATTCGAGCTGCATTCAAGAAATTGGTACGTTCACTGCTGACAAATGTGCAAAAGCGGTAACTGACTGTCCCGCCTGCCAGCTTCGTTTGAGCACCATAGGCATTACCCCCTCAAACCACCAGACCATCTATAAGCTCACGATGGTATTGATCAAGAATACTAAGTGCGAGGCCAGCGTTCCGCTATGTGCCCGTGTTGCTCTCATGGTAAGTACTCAAATCATGGCTGATAGCTCGGTGATCTCATTTCATCTCTACTAGCGTGCGGTGTACATGGTCCGTGAGAATCGTGGTCCGCATTTCTGGGACCGAATCGATGATGAGCTCGCGGCGCTGCGCAAAAAGGCCGCTGGCAATGAACGCAAGTGGATCAAGTGCGTACTTGAGTCTCATTGCTCACCACTGTTCACGCCTCACACCTCATGTATCTCTTCAGGGGCTTGCGCCACGTTCTCGACAAGGATCGCAAGAAGCATGGACAGGACGATCATGAGGTTGACGACCTTGAGGATGAGGTGGATGAACTGCAGCAGGAGGTCGACGATATCTTAGAAGGTCGCTCGCATGCTATCAGCAATGCGAGTGCTGCTGTCATAGATAGTGCTCCGGCCTGACTCCGAGTCGGAGGGCGGATAGCTTCATGTTCTGTCGCCGTCGATGTATTAGCCAATTGCGCATGGTATTCATAATAGATCCTGATACAATGGCACCTATTGTACCAGGCCATTGCTACGAGGGAGCACTGAAACAAATAATATGGAAACCTATCTGACGTGCTCGTGGCAAGCAAGCCAGTCAGGAGGTTGCTGGTTTCGTGTACACCACCATAACAGTCGTGTGTATGCCTGCTGTATGAATTGCTATATTGTATATAATAATACAGGTGACAGTCGGCGAACTCGCTGCATGGGGATCAGCAAAATTGCCAGGCAGTGACCATCTGGCAATGCAGGTAAGGGAAAGGACTCTGACTACATGTATCGTACATGGGTTACAACGTAGGCGACACCAGGCCGTAATATATGGTGACCACATCGACTGGGTCCGGTCCGGAGCCATCCCCGATGAAGTCTGGCGTCCACATGGTGGCGATGCCGGCGACACATAGCCTTGAGGTAGTATCCCCAAGCCGGTGACTACCTCGCCACCACCCGTCGAAATTTTGGCGGTGTACGAGCTGATTGGGCCTTGGCAGAACGCTCGGACTTACTCCCCTCATAAGTCCGCTCACGTGCCACAGCTGTAACTGGAGACTCATTGGCTCGACCCGGACCAAGCCTCATCAGCATTCGGTTTTTCTAATTCATGACTGCGAGAAAAATATTCATCATAGTTCACCGAACCCCACCTTTTCTTACAAGACTCTGGACGAGGATAATACCAGGACTATGATGCTATGCTGGATAATGAAAAGGGCCAGCAATATTAATTCAGCGCTCGCAACGGCAGGTGCAGCATTAATACCACATACCGAAGATGTGAGATATATCTACACTGCTAAGTATCACTCACACTGACAGAGGCGACCTCGCGAATACTTACAGGACTTCGACGTCGCGTCGCGCGCCACGAGATGTACACGCGCATTTCGGAGATCAACTTATTAGCCAACTCCGCACAGTCGACTTAACCATCGAAACAAACAAACCACTGGCTTGCAAGGAGGCAGGTCGCCTTCAGTCGACTGCTGAGCGCTGAGCAACACCGTCGAGGCTCAACCGCTGGCTTGGCTTGCCCTTCTTCAATAGCTGTGATCTCTGTCCTGTGTGCATTCCGCAATGTCATTGAGGGCTTGGGAGCGGTCTATTGGCTTCAAATATAGACCATATCCCATCGCCCCTGAGGTTTTCGTACGTCCCTTTGGAATGTCATGACATCTCTAACACTGATTTGCTGCTGCTATCTATTTTTGGGCGGGGACATGATGCGATTCGCATGACCTAGAGTGAGCCTGGTCTCAAGTGAAACGAATTGTAGTGATTAACGTGCTTCAGACAGCTCCGCATTTCAAGTTCGCCGGCGCAGCATACTATTGCTCAACGATGACATCCTAGGCATGATTCTGTCGCAAGTCGAGCGATTCGATGTACTGCATCTATCAGAAACGTGCCGCACAGCGCAGGCACTTGTCCTACCGTATTTGCTGTCAGATGTGGTGATAGACCAGTGGGAGCTCCCACTTGTCCATGGCGGCGACAAAGAGCAGCTGGTTGGATTCTGCGCTTTCATGCTCGCGGACGTTCCGCGTCGCATGCCTCTTCTCACATCTCTGAAGATTGAAAGAGACGCGTTCAGATTTCTACCTGGCTTGACAAGGCAATCGGACTTGTACGAGGAGAATCGCATCATGGACTACTCCGCCGCGTCGCAGCTAGCCCTGGTCATCGAACTCAGCACTCGCTTGCGGCAGCTCTCCATCTTCGATGCAGAAGGTGTCTTCTCCGAGGTCCCCCAGCTAGGAGATGCAGTTGCAGAACTCACACGCCTCGACGACATCCGTTTCGTTTCGACGGACGATGCCACTATCGGGGTGCTTTCGCGCCTGAAGAGCCGGCCCCGAAAGTTCGAATGTTGCATTCGGCAGTCGGATGTCGTTCTCAACGGAGGCGAAGATCGGTCCTCGGGAAACTTCACCACATCGTTAACGACAGTCAAACTGTCCGCCCATCCAGGCGTCATTCTAGCACTCAAATTAGATACGGTCTGGCCTGCTGTCGAGAGCCTAGAGCTGCAGGGCGACACGGAGTTCTTCATGAACAGTCGAGCCCACTTCGCTCGCGCCTTTCCCAACGTGCGCCGCCTCAAGGTACTCGACCACAGCTGCCGCGTCCCTTCCACATCCATCCCCGTGACTGCAAATCATTGGCGGAATCTCGACTTCGTCTCCATCTCTTCACCTCTCCCCGTCGGCCGACCCGTCCGCCATCTCCACTACTCCGCGAACACAGCTTCGGTGCACTGGACGGTCGACCAGTACGCTAACGATACCCAAGACTTCCTGCGACAGTCTTCGCCCGTGGTCCTCAGCTGCCGCTTACAGCAGAACCTGCTTGAGTGGGTAGCTGCGACTGCGTCCTCGCTCCGCGTTCTGCAATTGCATTGCGTGCAGGGCTCGGACGGGCGCGTACCGTGCCCCGACCACATGCGGTGTGTCATAGTGCGTGCCCACCAGGTTCTATTGCACTGAATGTTGACCATTGCCACGACCATTAGGACAAGTTTTGCCACATTTTAAGCTCGCTACGACTCCGTGCCATCTCTTTTAGCTTGGCCTTCACCATACCGCTCGACGATGCGTCGGTCGTGCGATATGCTGCCGCCATCGCACGGTATATCCCGGCCCTTCACTACATCGGCGTACAGCTGCATGGGGGACAACAGTGGGACATTTTCCGGTACAAGTGGGCCCGCGTCGTTTCGCGTCCAGAGCAGGGCGAGCCCGTCGTTGAGATGGTGTCGGAACACGACGTGGACGCCCTCGAGCGTACGCTCTTGGCCACTCCGCGAGACTGAATGCCGCTAAGTAAGTCTCTCGCACTATGGACGGGAAGATGCCCTCATTCCGTGTCAGGTCTGCATTACTCGTCTATCGCGATGGGATGCCGTTCGAGCTTCAGGAATCGACACTTACGAAATATCCACTCTATACCCGATTACAGAAGCAATTTTTAGAGTCTACCATTAATACATTCCAACGCCAAAGCTGGTATCACCATGCTTCGCAACCACTCCCTAGATACTACAAGGACCCTAATGATGCATCCCGTTTACCACTCGTAATCCTGCAGTGTAACTACATCCACCGTAATACCGTTATCCTTCTCCCACCTGCTTTGCCATTCGGCGATCTTCTGCAGCAGGGCAGCCCACTGATCCTCCGTGCGCACGCCCCGCAGCCAGCGCTCCTCCTCGCCCTGCGCCTGTATCCGTTTCCAGCCCCGTTGGATCAAAAAGTTCTGCTCGCGGCCCATCCGCCTCCACTCCTCCACGTACGGCTTGCCGTCGTCCGGGATCGCGCCCTGCTTCTTGAGGTACGCGACGATGTTGTTCTGGTACGTCTGCGCCTCGTTGTCGTTCTGCAGGCGGTGCCCGACGAAGTAGGGGTCGAAGCCCTTCTCGCGGAGCGCCTCTTCCCTGTCGAGGAGCTCTTGAAGCATCTGCTCGCGCGGCGGGAGGAGCGACGCGTTCGCGAGCGCGTGCGCGACGTACATGCCCTGTGCGTAGTCCGAGGGACAGTTCGCGGTGAGGATGGGCAGCCCGAGGAACGCGAGCGCGGTGGGCGGCACGGAGGGCGCGAGACTGAATACGTGCTGGTAGAGCGGGTAGATGTACCGTAGGTTCGTCGTGAGCTGTTGCGCGGTGGACGAGGTTTCTTGCGAGTCGCGGTCGGTGACTAGCGTGGATGCGTGCGGCGCGCTGAGGAAGGGCACGCGGAACTCGTACCCGGTCGCGAGGAAGACGGTGTCGACGCCCTCGACGACCGAGCCGTCCGCGAAGACAATGCCGTCCGGCGTGAAGTACGCGATCTCCGGCTTCTCGATCACGTTTGCTCCTGGAGTAGTGGTCGCGTTCTCTCTGACGACCTGGTACGCCTGCTGAGCGTTGTGAGCGCATTATTTCTAATCGTACGATGGCTGTCACTCACAGTTGTCAAAGTGCATACTTGGAGAGCGATGTCCCGCCCGCTTGGCCCCGTGCCGACAATGACCACCGTCTGGCCTCTGTAGTTCTCGGGTTCCCGGTAGTAGATAGAATGCAAGAGCTGTCGCTTGGGCAAGCCAGGGCGCGGATACGCGAGCCAGTCGTCAGTCCCATTCCACTCCGGGATGCGCGGGTAGTGGTTGTGGCCGTTAGCGACGACGAGGTGGTCAAACGTGCGCTTCAACACCACATCTTCAGCGTTTCCGTCTACCGGAGGAGAGTGCACTTCGACGTGCCAGTCGCCGAAGTCGTCGTGCCCATGCCACTGGGCAGAGACGACGGTGTGGTTTAGGTGAACGTAGGGCCACAAGTCGAACTGGGTCGCGTAATCCACGTGGTACTGGCGCTGCGCGTCCCATCCAGGGTATAGATCAGTACCCGGAGGGAACGGAACATGAGGATAAGTCATGCTAGGGTGTGCCGTATTGACGTGCAAGAGGGGATAGGTTGGCGAGTCAGGAAGTTCCGGGTATTCCGGATTGTGTCCTGGAGGGTCAGGGAGCCATACTCCACCCAGACCTCTATGTTGCTCGAAGAGCACGACTTCCCAGTTCTCGTTGTAGTCATTTACGACATCCAGGATTGTCTTGAGAGCGGCAAGCCCGCCGCTGCCACCGCCTACGATAGCAATGGACTTCGTCACCTCAATCGGCGGAGCGACAAAACCATCGTGTCCAAAACGCTGCAGCGGCGTTTGCGGTTCGAAGAGAGACCAACTAGGCGGCAGAGCGAAGTGCAGAGCCGAAGAGACAACCTGTGCAACGAGGACGGGCACAGAGAACATAGCGGTCAACGCGGGGGTTACACAGCAGTTCGGGACGTCTTGAGAGACATATATTAGGCGCAAGCCTCGGAGTCTTCGCAAGGCAAACCGAATCTATGGACGTTGCCGTGGCTGCCTTGAGGTGTGCACTTTCTCCCAGCGGAAGCACGCTCATGAGAAGTGATATGGCGAGATCCTGGATGGAGCCACTGGCCCCCACTGGTGTGGGTCCGGTGCCTATCCGTGCGTGAGATAGCACGAATCATCTTCATGAGATTGCAGACTCACTGCATAGTAGTATGTACCATCAACTTGAGGTGATTCCGCCTCGTTGCTTCTTTTCCCCCAGTCTGCCGTACTTCGAGATGAGCGGTCCCGTTTAGCACGTCCCGGACTGCTGGCTCACCGCGGACATAAGCAAGCTGCTGTCATATCCCACGTACTCATGCCTGCTTTAACGTTAACCTTCTTGCATGCCAACGGACCTCCGCGGCCTTACCAGTGGCGCACTGCCATCCACGCTATCGGTGATGCAATTGACAAACGTGAGTGTGATACTGTATGGCGAGGCCTCGGACCCAGCTTGTGTGAGAATTTGAGACACATGAGGTACTTGATACTATTAGAGAAGTAGTAAGCACTGTAGCACTGGCAGGGCTTGCCAACACATGTAGCGAAGCTCAAGTCAGTGGGACACACCAAGCAGCTCTTTCTCACGCATAGTCATCCTATGGCCGACGCGCAGTCTCGTGGAACACCATCGGGGTAGCCTACGGCGGCCGACGACTCGGCCAATAGGACGATGATCCATGAGCCGAGGTGCAACTTTTGTATGGTGGATCAGTAGTAATACGTGAATGCTGTAACAATTTGCGGGGTACTCGGATACCAATGTTTTGATGAAATGGGCGTCGGCCGCCGAGGCTAACGCGTCGGCTGGCCTATTGAAGGAGGACAGCCGCCTTGGACGGGCCCCGCCATCTTGCGTATTGGTGGGCGTCGCTATGAATATTACAGCGCGGTGAGGAATGGGCCGCTGGTAGGCTTCAGCTTGGCTGCGTCGGGTGCCGTCTTGTGTGCGTCGCCCGGACTACCGTGGAGATGGACTGGGATGCATCTGCTGGGCAGGCATAGATGTCAAGAAAATATCAAGCTGGTGTATACCAATCTTGCTCACCCCCGCAATGGTGGTCGAAGGGGGTCGTCATCTAACGCGGTGAGGCGTCGCCGTCTTGCCGGGTAGCGTCGTCTATCGCGGCGTTGAGCTCGAATGTCGGTTGGATCGGCTAGGTGGCCAGTGGGGTGGGCTTGATAAATAGAATGTTTGATTGAAGAACAAAAACGATGGGCATAAGTCCTACCCGCCCTCGCGGTGACTGTGGAAGGGAGTCATTGTATAACGCGGTGAGGCGTCACCGTCTTGGAGCACGGCCTTGTCTATCGCAGCGTTCAGTCCGATAACGCATACGTCGGCTGGACAAACAATGCAGTCGGCTGGATACGTTCGAAATCTTACTAGGTAATACGGAATAGTGTGTACAAGCTCGAGTTTTCCGCTCGGTCGAGGCAGAAGTGAATCGGTGGCTAACGCGGTGAAGTCTCACCGTCTTGCAAGCAACGTTGCATCCGTCGGCTCGAATGTCGGTAGGATCGGCTACGCGGCCAGTGGGGTGGGCTTGATAAATAGAATGTTTGATTGAAGAACAAAAACGATGGGCATAAGTCCTACCCGCCCTCGCGGTGACTGTGGAAGGGAGTCATGGTATAACGCGGTGAGGCGTCACCGTCTTGGAGCACGGCCTTGTCTATCGCAGCGTTCAGTCCGATAACGCATACGTCGGCTGGACAAACAATGCAGTCGGCTGGATACGTTCGAAAGCTTACTAGGTAATACGGAATAGTGTGTACAAGCTCGAGTTTTCCGCTCGGTCGAGGCAGAAGTGAATCGGTGGCTAACGCGGTGACGTCTCACCGTCTTGCAAGCAACGTTGCATCCGTCGGCTCGAATGTCGGTAGGATCGGCTACGCGGCCAGTGGGGTGGGCTTGATAAATAGAATGTTTGATTGAAGAACAAAAACGATGGGCATAAGTCCTACCCGCCCTCGCGGTGACTGTGGAAGGGAGTCATGGTATAACGCGGTGAGGCGTCACCGTCTTGGAGCACGGCCTTGTCTATCGCAGCGTTCAGTCCGATAACGCATACGTCGGCTGGACAAACAATGAAATCGGCTGGATACGTTCGAAATCTTACTAGGTAATACGGAATAGTGTGTACAAGCTCGAGTTTTCCGCTCGGTCGAGGCAGAAGTGAATCGGTGGCTAACGCGGTGAAGTCTCACCGTCTTGCAAGCAACGTTGCATCCGCCGGCTCGAATGTGGGTGGGATCGGCTGAATAGTTGATGGTGTTGGCTGAATGGATTGAGTTGCTGGTTGAATGACGCTAGTATGGAGTAACGAGTTTTCCTCGCCCACACGGTGGCGGTGGAAGGCTGTCGTTGTCCAACGCGGTGAGACCTCACCGTCCTGTTCGTCCTGAATCATCTAAAGCGGTCAGCTCCTCATCGATCTATATCTAAGCAGCCTAAACCAATCGCATTGAGACGGTACAGGTACGAGGAAATACAAGACGGGAATTCAGCGTCGCAACGAGTCTTCATACAACGTCAACAAGGTGGTGTCCCTCAAAAAGTCCTTCGAGACCCATACATCGAAATCTTCGCTGGTGTCCCTCCAGTGAATGAAATACTCCCACTTGCCATTGACGTTTCGTTTGTCGAGTATGTGCTCGACCGCGCTATCCATATAGATGGGGAGGGCCTCCAGGCACTTCACGTCCGTCCAGGCCAGTTCGCTGTTCGACCGAGGCTGCCAGCCTTCCCAGCTCACCCAGAACCTCCACTGTTTCTTCTCATTTTGGTAGGCTAACTCGATGGCTTGAACCTTGTACCACTCGCGGTTGTTCTTGACTTCGACCGGCCCCGGACCTGCGTCAGAGTCTGGAGGGTGGTAAGTGAATGAGTTAAATCAACAGGCACACGAGAAAATGGTCAAACTCTACATACCTGAAGAAGGCTCGGAACTGGACGCCACAGAGGGTGCTCTCGACGGGCCGGACTGAGGAGGAGGAGTGGCTGGCGGAGAAGGTGTCTGCCTGGGACTGGCCTGTCCGCCTTGGTTCGTCTCGACGACTTGCTTGCCCTTCTGCGAGTGCTTCTTTTGAAGGCTCATCATCTTCAGTCGGTATGGATGGGGGGGGCGTGGTATCTGTCTCTGCGAGACGCCGTCACCGTCTGAGGGTAGGTTCGGTTCCCCATCAATGGCTCCGGGCTCCGGAGCTCCACCGCCCGTCTTGACCGCCAGGGAGGCTGTTGGGGCCTCAGCGGGCCTCCCGTCGGCAGGGTAGGGACGGGAGGGTCCAGCTGAGGGGCCAGCTTGACCAGTAGGCCCACCCGGCGCGCTGGCCTCCAGGGCAGCGGTCATCTTCTTCGGCGGGTACAAGGCGATGGGAGCAGGGCGCGGGCGAGAGCGCCCTGCGTAGTCAATCGACGGACGCGATACGTTGTCGTCCGAGGCGTGGGCCGTCCTGGGCACTGGGACGGGACCGATGGGAGGAGGGCGGGGTCGGTTGCGACCCGCGTAGTCGACGGCCTCGCGGCGCGCGACGTCCGGCGGGGACCGTCCTCGTCGCTGGGACGAGACCGACGGAGCAAGGCGGGGTCGGTTGCGACCCGCGTAGTCGATCGGTCCTCGCGGCACGCTGACTTCCGAGGCGGGGACCGTCGTCGTCTCTGGGACGACACTGACGGGAGCAAGACGGGGTCGGTTGCGACCCGCGTAGTCGATCGGCCCTCGCGGCGCGCCGACGTCCGAGGCGGGGACCGTCCTCGTCGCTGGGACCAGACCAACCGGAGCAAGACGGGGTCGGTTGCGACCCGCGTAGTCGATCGGCACTCGGGGCGCGCTGACGTCCGGGGCGGGGATTGTCGTCGTCTCTGGGACGAGACTCACGGGAGCAAGACGGGGTCGGTTGCGACCCGCGTAGTCGATCGGCCCTTGCGGCGCGCCGACGTCCGAGGCGGGGACCGTCCTCGTCGCTGGGACGAGACTGATGGGAGCAAGGCGGGGTCGGTTGCGACCCGCATAGTCGATCGCCTCACGAGGCGCGGCGGCCTGCGGTGCGGCGGTCCTGTCTTGCGCTATGACACCGATGGGAGCAAGACGGGGACGCTCGGGCCCGAGATAATCTTTGCCCGTCCCAGACCCCTTTCTTGTGCCTGAGCCGGGGCGGTCTAGGCGCGGATTGTCAAAGCGAGCAAAACAAGCAGGTTAGACATTGTCAGTGTATTGGGTGATACCCAAAGGATTCACAACTCACCTATGATACGGGCCCGCTTGTTATCAGCGCCCGGAGCTGAGGAACTTGGGGAGGAAGGTCGCTTGCCGGACATCTGCTAAGGAGATTCTGTTCGTTTTAAAGCGGTTCCAAAACGTCCACATGTTATTACTTACCACCTGATCTGACGATAACGTGCTACGAAGGCTACTGAGACCGCAGTACACTGCAGTAAAAGACGAAACAAGACCAGGCGACGGTCAGCCACCCATCAATCTGACGCGTCACAGCTCACGTGGCAAGCCACAGAACGGAGGTTCTGACACGTGATGCCGATCACCTCGATCAAACTCAGACGAACCGCTTGTGGACTGGCCTGTTTCGTCCTACTTCCTTTCATACGCATCTCTGCCAGCCACTCTCACCTCTCTCTCGTCTCGCACTCCCGTCTTGCTTCCATGTCTTGCCCCACGTTCGACTTCAGCGACCCGTCCAAGGCTCGCAAAACGATGCAGCGCTTTGCAGCGCACCTCAAGGCCGCGGTGAACGCGTCGCCTGCCGACCTTCTGGACCTCACCAAGAAAGTGGGGAAGATTCTGGTAAGTAAACATGCATTATACTCGAATAATGACAACCGACGCGTCTTGAAGTACGACAACTGCGACGCGATTGTCGCTGCTGCAAGAGGTGGCGCGCTAATGCCGAGGATCGTCGGATACGCGTACGAGGAGTACATCGGCCAGCTCGACTTCTTCCTGGCCAACATCAAGGAGGACGACGACCGCGATGTGGGGAGTGCCTCCCACATAGGCCCGGACAGTACGTATATCGCTTATTTTGGGCTATCTGGTCAGTGCCGTTCCCTCCGAGCACATTGACAGCCTTCGCTATTCCTTCCGATACCCCATCTCTACTGTACTTGATGGACTTCGCGCGATTTCGCATTACTTACCATATATAGCAAGTACCTACTATTAGTCAGCTTCGGCGGCATACAGTGCCACGAAGACTTGTACATACGTTAGTTCTCCCCCCTCCGAATCTAGGCAACTACGAGCACAGCTCGTCTCGCTGCTATCACATTTTCTGGAGTTGGGGGGCATCTCCCCGAGTTGGTCATTAGCGACCTAGTCGGGCCATCGAGAATCATTCGGACGGAAGTAGTGCCACGTAGTTGGGGCAACACCAGTACTACGAGATCAGGGCAAGTCGGAAGGAGTACAGGTTAGGCCAAGGACTCGCGGAACGAGCTTAGGAACCAGCGGAAGAAGAATACGAACCAGCGGAAGGAAGACAGGATCCAGCAAAACGAGGACAGCGACCTGCGGAACGAGCTTAGCGACTAAGGAACAGAGCTGGCCTACTCCGCAACGAGCCGAGCGACTACGAGAGTTCATGATAGGACGTCGGAACGGGTACAAGGAGACAGAACGAGAACGAGAACACGGAACGAGCACGAGATTGAACGCGGTACGACTCGGAGCCGTTGACTAGAAGCGAGGTTGAGGATACGAAGCACGGAAGAGGCGAGGGAGCAGCGGAACGAGTCAGGACTCAGGATGACAGCTGTAGACGAGGCCTGGAGGACCGAGGATAGGGACAGCGAGCCAGAGGTTTGGCAACGAGGTCCGTCTTTGGCACTACTCCCCTCCGAGATGCATATTCCCCCGTTTCAACACACCCTCCCTTCATCCTGGAAGCCATGGATTGGCCCGCCCCTCGAACATCGCGCCCGGGGGTACTACACTCCCGAGCTACACAACTGGAGCCCACCGCGAGGGTGGTACCCTGTTCCCGCTTCCTCCGCTCAGCCTTTGGCTTCGCGTCATCATGCGTACACCACGGGCGAGCTGATTTTCACCCCTTCCACCATCTTTTCACTCCATTGCCCACAGAACTGGTATTGCCGATGCGCCATGCAGACTTAGCTGCGGCTCGAAGCGAGACATCGAATGTACACGTCAGGCCTGTCATGGAGGCAGCGACTCGGACTGCTCAATACGACGGTGTATTCATGCAAACAGCAGAACACCCCCATGTTGTCGAGGCGGCAGCTTACAGTCGATCGAGGACAGCGGACGCACAGCAGGCTTCTGCGCGCTCAGGTTCTCACCGAGGGGCCCATGGAGGAGTTGCCGCGGAAATGGCGAGGACGCGCACAGACGTAGCCGGGCAATCTCAGGCTATCGTTCACATAGACACGCTTACCGGACGAGAGGGATCGGGCGACAGCCCGAGCACTTACGAGCGAGCGATTAGACCCGGAGGCACTACGGTGACTAGGTCATGTATTCGGGGAGTCAATACGAGCGGTACACTACGGGCATCGGCAACCACATCGGGTGACGGCTCGTGCCATGCGGTCGACGAGTCCTTCCTTGAGACGCGGCGCCTGACAGCTAGGTCATCCGGGCGAGTCGACGAGCGCGGGGAGGTAGAGCGGAATGGGTCGAGACGCAGTCAAACGGCGTTGGACCTTCGGGAGCAAACATCAGTCCCGCGACTCGGAGTCCGGAGCGAGCAGTAACGCACCCAGCCAGTGGATCCAAATGTCGACAATCCGAAGCGATGAATGGAGGGCAGGACGAGCAGGCGACTCTGCCTCCGCGACTGTCCTCGCATCTATCAAGCTTCTCCGACCGTGTCACGACGAGAGATGAGCGAGCGACCTTGTTCGGCGGAGCCAGTCAATCGAGCGCCGGCCTCGTGCTGCTCGAGACGGCAAGATGTACACGCACGCGGGGAGGCTCGACCTGCGAATCCTGGGGAATAGGAAGCTTCCAAGCACGCGAGCAGGGAAGTCATGCAACGGGGGCGGAGAGCAATATCGACATCAAGCACGAGACTATGTACGCGAGGGAGCAGAGTGAATGGATGGGAGTGCCTAGGGCGCAGGACGCGGACGTACAGGAGCATATTGTTGCAACGGAACAGGGGATCCGAGGAGTTCACGCGGTGACTATAGAGGAAGCACGACGGTCAGGACGAACACGATGCACTTTGACAGAGATTAGACTCACCAGCGAAATGGGTACGACGAGCGACATGTCCCCTACGGTGGTCAGTAGCCGGCAGGCGACCCCGTTCGGCGATGTACTTGCTTCGACTCGAAAAGGTCGAGGAGGAACGGATGTGCCGCGCGTAGTCGACAAAGCGTGGACCTACGAGGGCTCGAGTATAAGCGACACCGGACGAGAAAACCACGGGAACACGGAGATACCTGGACGCGGCACAGACGGGGCGTCGAGCGGACGAGACGAGCCAGGGTCGCATGCGCAAGGCTTCCGGCGGACAGGACGCGCACATAAGGATCTAGTGGCGACGGGTATTGCGCAAGGCCGGGTTTTCGACGGCGAGCTAGGCCGTGATGAGAAGAGGATGGCGGGCGGTGAGGGTTCAAGCGCAGCCATTAGCGCGTGCAACAGGGAACAGAAGGAGGTCGGAGAGTTCTTGGCCGCGGCAAGACGAGTCTGCAAGTTCGGAGACAACTGGCTACATCAGCTAGCTGCGCAGGCGCCGCGGGTGTTCAGGCGAGTCGCCACGATAGTGCTAGAGGATAGGCGTACCGGGGGACCCCATACGACAAACCATTCACTCTCCTTGCAAGCCGAAGGCTTCATATCAGCTCCACGAGGTGCACCACGCGGGCAGACGGAGGCGACGCACGCATCAGACATTCGGCAAGATACCCTAAGGCGGCATGGCGCGACGGCGGAAGGGCTTGATGCGTGTGAACAGCAGGAGCGACAGGCGGAGGAAGCGCAGGAGTTCAGACAGGTTGTATCTCGAGCGACAGATCTGACGACGCTCACCTATGGGATTTCCTCCACCGACTACGCGTACCCGGGACGTTCACTTCCCTCGGCGAGATCTGGCCTGCGTGTGCGGGAGCACGCGATGAAGGCGTTCGAGCTCGGAGTTGTTGACGACCTGGCGCTTTTGGGCACGCAGCGGAGCGGTGATGGACGCGACGGCGGCTGGGAGTGTGCTGACCTGGCGAGTGTTCGACAAGGCATCCTGTTCGCGATGGATGAGAGAGAGTGCGACGAGAGCTCGCGCGAGGATCACAAGCCGTTGCAGGCAGAGTCAGTGGAGAGAAGACTCAGGCGAGAGACGATCGCTCAAGCGCCCGAACCACGGTCTGCACAGCCTACCGGCGTCTCGCTGGTCGCTCGAGTCGAAGATTTGGCGCGTGTATTCTCGCACTCCCCGCATCTCCTCAATACTAGCAGTTTGCCCGCGTATTGTTCTGTTTGGCGAGGCGCAGAAGGAGCGACGGTTGAGGACCACCTCACTGCAAGATCGGACTCGGAGGGAGCAGCGTGCGAGACACACGAGCCCGCGCGTGCGAAGCGGACGGTGTTACCCTTAGCTGAAACAAACACTCAAGGCACAGACTGGAGGCGTATGGTTTCCGCGAGGCGTCTCAGCGGCTTGCCTGCATGTGGCGCCAGCTCGCGAGGTGCGAGACGACTGGCATCTGGCTACGACAATCGTCCAGCGAGAACGGACTCGGAAGGAACGACGGGCAAGCCGTACGAGCTCGGGTTTCAAGACCCATCCGACCTGGCTCGACGCGAATTAGAAGAGCGATACCCTGTTGGGCAGAGCGCGAGAACCTTCGCGAGGCGTTGCATCGATGAGCCGGGGCGGCTCGAGCTCGAGAGGACGGAGGGACGGGCAATTCTTAGCACCAGTGAGTTACTGGAGTATCTGTACAAGCACGAAGATCCAGCAGGTCCGGAGGACGATAAGGACACGACCAGAGGCCAGTCGGCGGGCTCGGCGATGGCGAGCGGAACGCTGCAAGGAAGACTCAGGCGAGCAGAGGCTCGGGCGGAGGGACTGGCGGCGGAGGCAAGCCGGAATTACGGTCGACAGCACGAGTCCTATGAGAGCTCGAGTGCAACTGGTACTACGTCAATAAACCTCTGGGACAGAGTGTTCACGAGAAGCTCGGGCTGCAGTGAGTACGTACGCACGGGGACTCATCGTGGAGAAGGCACTGTCCGGGCGGTAGAGGTCGGGTCCATCGAATTCAACGCTAACTACGACAGGAGAACAATCGGAACCACTGCGGACGCGCGAGAGTCACGGCATACCTGTTCTCAAGCCACGGGAAGCGGGCTGATTGCGTCTGGTCAAACAAGACGCAAGGATGGACTGGAGAGCACCGAGAGTCCAGCAGTCACGGGGAAGGAGTACCGAGACGCGTCGGGACAATGGATCGCATGTCAGGACGGGCAACAGGAGATACGAGAGGACTGCGCGGAAGGAACGCGGACGTACAGATGCATGTCGATAATCAAGGCTGCCTGGCGATGGGCGAAACAATCAGCGACTACCAGCGAAACCCACGGCGCAGAGGGAACGGCTGGCGAAACTAGGTACCGAGAGCGTGCGGACACGGAATGGACGGTTCTGGGTGAACGTGGTATCCAGCGCGGAGGGAACCGGACGGAGCAGAGCATAGAGGGCGGGAGAGACGAGACGGAGAGTCGAGTAGTTGCGAGGCCGGCAAGCGGAAGCGTCCTGGGTGCCGTGCACCGGAGGGAACGAAGAGAGGACGAACAGAACCGAGAGGCGTCGGGACAATGGACTGCAGATCAGGACGAGCAACAGGAGCTACGGGAGGAGCGGGCGGAGGGAACACGGATGTTCAGGCGCATGGCGACGATAATCGAGGCCGCCTGGCGATGGGCAAGACGATCAGCAGCTAGTGGAGGCCACAGCGCGGAAGGAACGGCCAGCGAACCTCAGTATCGAGACCGTGCGGGTGCGGAATGGGCGGATTCGGGGCTAGATGAACAGGGTACCCAGCACGGAGGGAACAGAGGACGTTGGGGGACAGAGGACGGAAGCGAGAAGACGGACAGTCGAACCATGCCGAGCACGAGGCTCGAGGTTGACCCCTGCCGGAGGGAACGAGGCGAGACCGAAGGGTATGTGGAGTCCATAAGACAAGGGGCGGGAGAAGTAGATTGCCAGGATGTCGAGCGACAGGACGCAGACCAGACGCGCACGCCCAGATGGTCAACGCGGATCAGGGACGAGAGCGGACGCGCCAGTATGACCCGTACGGCGAACGGTTCGATGTGGGTCGATGGGCTACAGGACACGAGGTGTAATACCGTCGAGAGCGAGCATGCCGAGGTCCGTGACGTGGACGAGGGCCTGTCGGAAGAGGCGGAGCTAGGTCGGAGAAGATCCAAGGCGACGACCGTCGCAGTGTATGGACCGGGGCCTGCGCAGTTCACTACCGGGCGACTAGTCTCTCAAGTCGTGGCGGGGGTACGCGCTGGCTCACTTTTCTCGAGGTCAAACGGGATACCCGGTCTATCCAGCCTGTTCGCAGGTGGTACTATCGAGCGACAGGCGCTGCAGGAAGCGACGGGAGGTAGTCGAGCGATAGGAGGTGGTTGTCACACGCCGCGACCTGTACAGCTCCGAGGCAACGAGGAGAGGAGGGGGACAACGCGGTGGCGAAGCAAGTGGAACGAGGGCTTGATACTAGAGGACAGGCGAACGAAGGCTGCACGAACCCGGGTCGCGAAGGAGCAGCGGATTGATCAAGCAAAGCAGGGGGATCGCAGGCCGTGTACAGCGGTCGGGGCCTGGGTTGATGCGGAGGGAAGTGTTCAGTCGCCTTGTATCAGGCGTGGCGAGCCAGGGCATTTCAAGACGAGTCAAGGAGACTCCGAGCCGTCTAGCGAGCGCACTGGGTGTAGGACGGCGGCATACGCCATGGGACCTCAAGTCCAACCCGAAGCATCGTTGCGAAGCGATGAGGCGAGGTCCGCGAGGGAACAGCCAGTCGGAACGCTAGCCAGCGAGAAGGGGAGGAGCAGGTCTCAGATCATGACGGACGCGTGCGTCGAGAGCGAGCTGAACGAGCGCCCAAAGGGGGACGCGATGGCGAGAAACGGTAGTCCAGCGAATGAGTCCAGTGAGTCTGACAACAAGCGGCTGGGACTGACGGTGCCGGAGGAGGTGGACGGTTGCGGACTGAGCGAACCCGGTCCGCGAGAGGCATCAGATGAGGAGCCACCTGAGGCAAAGGGTGGATGCAAGGAGACACGAGGTCTGGAGCCGAGTGGGGAGCAAGCCAAATCGAAGCAGGAAGACCACTGGCACGTACTACGGGACGAGGAGCTAGTAGCAAGTCTGGGCCGGGGAAGGGCGAGCACTTCAGTTGGACGATGCGATGGCGGCGAGCAGCATTCACCGAGCGAGAGTACGGCCAGGGGCCGAGTTACCGGGGATATGGAAGCGACAGGCAAGGGAATCTCGCTGCAAATGCGAGGCGAAGACGGACCGACCGGAGAAGCTGGAACTGACGAACCACTGGGGGCGGATGGCCACGCGCGGGCGTACTGCGAGACGGACCAGGACGTGAGCCTGCCGCTGAGTAATGGGGAGTCCGAGCCCGCGGGTGAAGACACCGAACCGAGCGAGATGCAGGAGACGGCGAGACAACAGGTTCAAGTAAGGACATCGATACGCACGGCAGGAAAGAACGGACGTACCGAGTGTAGGAAAGCGGGCGCGCGCGCGAAGGATAGCGATGGCGAGGGGCTACCGCAGGAGGACTTGGTCGAGATCAGCCAGTCATATGGGCTGAAAGCGAACCTCGAAGACGTACGTGCACGCGACGAGACGAAACAGGGCGGGAGCTTGGAGCCAAGTAAAGGAAAGCCCGAGCCCGAGATGCGAGGCCCGGAGCGACCCGAGAGTAAGCAAGAGGACCCCGTGCGTCAGAGAGCAAGAGGTGGACTCGCGCGCTGCGAGACGGAGCAGACCGTGAGCCTGAAGCCGAGTAAGGGGGAGGTGACTGAGGAGAGGAGTGGCGAGAATGACACGAGGTACACGCTGCGGCTGGAAGGCGAACCGGGAATGTCTTCGTGCGCACAGACCAAGGATGGACAGCCCGAGCGAGAGGAAACGGGCGAGTACGCACTGGACGGCGGTCGCGAAGTCGCGATTTTACAAGTGAACCTGCTCGAGGTCAGCCAGCCAAACGGACTATCAGCGGACGATGCGGACGTACCGTGGTGTCGAGGTGCGAGAGCCAGACGCGTATATGGTCGTGGCGACACAAACCGGGACGCGAGTTCGAAGCTGAGCAAGGGGGAGCTCGACGACGGATGTGCTGGTAATAGCGAGACCAAGAGGGAGACAAGGCGGGGCTGGCAAGCGTCAGGGAGAACAGCATCCACGCGGAGGGAAGACGGACGCACCAGGCGTGAGGAAACGCGCACGCACACAGAGGAGGGTGGTGGCGAAGCGGGTTGGCAGGT